GGCATAACCTTTTTGACTCACCAAGATAGGATATGTATATAGTATTTTCTCTGAATTTGTCAAATCCAAACGGACTAGATCTTGTTGTTGTGCTTATTGTCTATATATTGTATATAGTTATTGTACTTATTGTACATGACTTTTCTTATATTAGTTATAGCCTTCTTTTTTATATTAGACGTCAGGGAAATTGTGGTGATATATTGTTTATGATCTAATAAAGCCACTGGAGATCAGAATGCAAAGTCTGACACATCATTTAGCCATTGATGCAAGGCAGTAGTTGTGCACACCTTTAATCCCAGGACTCAGGAGACAAAGGCAGATGGATCTCTGTGACTCCCAAGACCATCCTGGGCTACATGAGAGTGAATCAGTCTAAAAGAGAAACAGAGATCATGCCTTTAATCCCAGCACTTTGGATATATAAGGAGCTCAGCGCAGTCTCAGAAAGCAGTCTAGGATTCTGAGGCTTGGTGGAGATTAGTGCAGTCTGGAGATGCAGTCAGGTTCAGGGGATTGCCCCTTTCGTCTGAGTTTTGGTAGAGGTGAGAACTCTCTAGTGGCTGGCTGCTTTGCTTCTCTTATCTTCAGCTTGAACCCCAATATATGTCTCTGGGTTTTTATTATTCATACTACACATTATCATGTATATACTAGAAGTTAGTAAGTTGTAGAGCAAAAGAATATTGCCTTCTTGATAGTTTTAATTTAAATGTTATTAAGTTAATAGAGTTTTAAATTTCTTATAGATTCCAGCTTTTTATACCATACTTATTATTATTAACCTTTGTCATTTAAATCTTGGCTTATGGTATATTTTTTTCTCATCAGAGTTTGTAATTTTTATGTTGCTAGGATCTTTGACACTACTTATTTCAATATTTATACATTGTTTAAATCCTTATTTATGTGTTTGCTTCTGAACTCTTTTCAGTTGCGAAAGCCTGTTCCTCTACAAGATTTTAAACAATATATATTTTCTGGTACTCCAATGGATCTTGGAGAAGAGACTTTCAGGATGAATGAATGATAATTCTGTTCAAAAGGTGCAGAGGAAATGGTTCTGGTATGTTTAAGGTGTAGGTGGGAGAAACAATGGGTCAGAGACGGAAGAATGAGGAAGAGATTGTGGGAAGTTAGAGCATGATGGGTGTGCACACATGCTAATGGCTTCCTGTATTGAACCTTTCTTGCTTGCCACGAATTACTGTGTCATAATGGCACAACTGTGGTTTAGAAACACACAAGTACCTGTGTTTAAAAGGCTAAAGTCTGCTGAGTTTAGTGGCACATGCCTTTAATCTCAGCACCAGAGAGGCAGAGGCAGGTGGATGGCTACAGGTTTGAAGCCAGCCTGATCTTCATAGGGATCCTGGCCAGCCAAGGCTACATAGTGAAATCTTGTTTCAAAAGAAAAAGTTGAAGTGAATGGGAAAGTTGCATTGTGTTCTTAAAATTACTTCCTGTTGTCTGCAAGTGATAGCATCTTTAGCAGAACCCAAAAAGAAAAAGAAATGGGCTAATTGTCAAGTCCTGGGAGAGCTTGCTGTATCATATGTTGTCCAGTCTGTGTGATGGGAAAATGTAGAGTTTGTCTCAAGTCCTGGCTGGAGTAGTCTGTGAGGCTACCATCTCAGGCCACCTTGAAATTGTCCTAAGCAGTTTGTAGTCCAAACCTGATCTGTGGGTGGTGTTTGTCAGCTTAGTGGCATTACCCTAGTCCTGGCAGAAGTGTCATTGTGGGACCCCATCATCCTTTTAGAGACGTCACAGGTCACTGTTAGGCATGGTCATGTTTACTGCAGAAAAACATTTTAAATGCCATATGCATCAGATCTCAAAGAGGTTAAAGGACCATAATTTGTTCTGTCCATCTAGATAATTTTATAATGTCATAGTGAGATTGGTACTCAAACACAAGCTATTGAGTTCATGTAGTGAATATATCTGTGTGTGTGTGTGTGTGTGTGTGTGTGTGTGTGTGTGTGTGTGTGTACAAACTATGGTTCGTTTAGTGTTCATGTATTGTATACATGTTTAGTGCTGATCACTGATACTGGATGACCTAGCAGATGGCCCTAGAGAACACTGATTCTCCCTCTCATGGCAGGCATCAGTTGTCTGTAGCTTTTCGCCTATGTCTGGTGCTTTGTGAGATTTCCCCATCTTCATTGACATGTCAGCTGGAGGTATAATATTAACACTACCATTAAAAAAGAAAGTATTGGGATGAGGAAGCAAACAGGAAGACTACCTCTCTGCTTCTTGGGGAAGAGGCCACCAGAGCTGTTGCCTCTGGAAACAAAACTCACCCATGGTGAAGAACCAAGCAGAAACAACCGCTTGTCTGTTTATTTCCATTTAATATGGAGACAGGTCACTCATCTGAAGTCTCATCTACTGTCTGCAACCTTAGTACTGTGAGGCAGATTGTTGGAAGCACATGGTTTCCTGTTTTGGCGGTGGGTATGTGACTTTCCTCTGTCTCCCACTTTCTCTAGTGTGTGAGAGGCGGGGAGGGAGGAGAGAATGCATATGGGGGTGGGATGTGTGTGTGTGTGAGACAGAGAGAGACAGAGAGAGAGACAGAGAGAGAGAGAGAGAGAGAGAGAGAGAGAGAGAGAGAGCGCACAAGGGATGGGGTGGGGACGTGTGGTGGGTGTGGGTATGTGGAGATCAGAGGAAAACTTTGTGCAGTTGGTTCTCTCCTTCTTCCCTGTGGGTTTTGGGAGTCAATGTCAGAACAGAATTAGAAATTAAGAATCTCGATTCTAAAGGACATACTATCTGAAGTGCCTTAGTACATTAAAGCAGGGCTCTCAGCCCATGGCCTGCAGGGTATATGCATACCACTCCAGAGCACTTAGTGAAAACATGAGATTTATTTGCAATTTTTATTTGTTTATTTTGATAATTACCCAGTTTTCAAACGTGATCTCTCTGTGGGATACTATTGTGTCAGTGCCACATGGCTGGAAATACTGATGCCTCAGCTGTACTATTGTGATACTATTGTGTCAGTGCCACATGGCTGGAAATACTGATGCCTCAGCTGTATGTCTGAAGCAGTTCTCAATAACCAGGCTGCTATTGACAGTGAGGTTCTGTGTACTGGATGCAGGGGTCTCAGTATTTGGTGGTTTTCCTAATTCTCTCTGGAGCTCACCTGCTTTAACTTTCAGTGCTGGGGTGCTGGCGTCCTTCTTACTGCCATAATTACTTTGAAATAGCATTAGCATTTCCATTTTAATATCATGATTAACACAAGGGATTTCAGAAGACCTGGATTTTATCCCCACACTTACCCCTAATTAATTATATGTCCTTTATAAATCTTAAACTTGTAGACTGTATAATAGTCATGAAGTAGCCCTGAAGTGTCATGTTCTTACACTAAACAAATGGAGAAGTTGTGACCCTACCCTTGTCTTCTCTGTTGGCTTCTTTGTGACCCTGAAGTCCAGGAAACACACTTTGTGTTCTGCATCACAGACTCATGATACCATCTCACTGTTACCTTCATACCTCCAGTCTTGCAAATTATACATCTCCATCTTTCTCTGTTGGCGTCTTTCTTACAGTGTGGTTGATGGGAACCGCACCTAGGACTGTAGGTTGGGCCCCTGGGCTATGACCTTATATAAATGGAAGATCATGTTCCTATTTCACTTCAGCTACTTTTTCTAAATGCCACTATTCCTAGGACTTAGTAGCTGTAATATTTCAAAATGTCTTGGAAGCCAACCCTTTGCCTCTGGAATAGAGTCTTCCAGGCTCTTTACTATTCAATATCTTCTGGGACAGAGATTTCACAACCTGTCTCTCACCTTGAGGAAGTTCTCATAACTAATATAAATCTTGCTTTCTGCAATTTCAGTTGAATTTATATCATTTTTCTTTTCTCTGTAGAGATGAGAACAGCCCTAAACCAGAGGTGATACATTCTCATGAGGGCCAGAGCTGAACACTGTAGAAAAATGGTTTTCAGTCCAGCATCCATTTCTCTGTCATTCTGGCATTTGATTCATGTCTCAGAAGGTGCCATTTTAAAAGTCCAAATGAAATAATAGTTTCTATCTACTATCAGTACTTACGAAATCATTTGCTCTTTAAAATAAAATGGGGTATGGAAATTTAAAAGTGAGTTCTTGTGGGGAGGAAGGGGAAATGCGGGTCTGTGATCCTGTTTGTAAGAAACGTGTTGGTCAGACAGTGGTGGCACACACCTTCAGTCCCAGCCCTTGGGAGGCAGAGGCAGGTGGATTTCTGTGAGTTCCAGGCCAACCTGGTCTACACAAGAGAAACTCTGTCTTAAAGAACTAAAAAAAAAAAAAAGAAAAAGGAAAAAAGGAAGGGAGGAAGGAAGGAAGGAGGAAGAAAAGAGAAAGAGAAATCTTTTGGCTGAGTGCCTAGAAGGGGCTGGGGTGGCTCTCTGTTGACTCTCAGAACCTGACAGTGCTAAAGCTGCTGAAGTCACTAAAATAAGAGATCTCTCTAGAGTAAATAAATAAAATTAGAAGATGTGTTCTCAAAATGCATTTGAGATATTTAACTATACTTCTTATTTCATATAGCTATAATCACAAGACTGGCTTTGGGCTGTAGATTTTATCCCATTTTTTAATGATAATAGTAAGTGATTGATTCATTCATTAGAAACTGTGAGACAAGAAATCTGTTCCTTGGAGCAAGCTATCCAGACGTGGATTTCAATGTGTATGGCAGGATGGCTTCAGTCCTCAGCTAAGAACTGTGCTGAACGTGGTGAGGATAGATAAGCTACCTGTGCCGTGAGGAGCCTGTGGTTGTGCTGAGGAAGACACTGTGAACTAACTGCTTCCAGTCACTTTTAACAGTGCAGACAGCAAGACATGGAATGGAAATTTAATTTTACAGAAGAAGTCTTATATATACAATTGCATACATGTTAAATTAACTGAGTCCCGAAAATTTGTATTCAATTGCTTCATTATGATTTCTGATTTTTTCTTTTGAAGGTTCAGCAGTTTTCTGAAAAATCATTCCTTTTAAAGATTTTGAAAACCCATGAAAATGCACTAGAGAGACAATGCAGTGAAATTACGAACCAAAGGGACACACTGCTCCAAGCCTTCGTAAGTCACTAGTCACCTAGAAACACTGAAGTCAGTAACTGTGTCAAAGACATTTAAATATATGCAGCTTTACTTGGAGACAATTACATGTATGAATATCAGCTGACAGTACTTTTCAAATAAAAAATATTAAGGGCTGTTTAAAACTGACTGCGAAAGCAATACCATTTAGAGAGTTGTTCTGGCAAGGACATCCTACAGTTGCAGCGAGTCACTGCCTTCAATGACTCTGGTGTTGAGACCCAGTTATAATGCCCCGGAAAAACAGAGAAGTTTATAATTTTAGGCATATTTATGAGTATCAGTAAAAATATATTGTTTATCTTTTTATCTTAAAAAGATAACCAACAAGCCAACAAGCTGAGCAGTACTTATACATATAGACCAATTTGGAGATGTGACTAGTTATAAGTTGACATTTCAAAGAAATACATTTGGGCCAGCAGGAGGGCTCAGTAAAGGCACTTTCCAACAAGTCTGATGCCCTTTCAATCCCTGGAACCAACATGGTGGAACGAGAACTGACCCCTGCAAGTTGTCCTCTAACCTCCATGTCCGTGATGTCATATGCCTGCCCACACTCATACAAACAATATAGTGAATGAATAAGGAAATGGAAAAATTACCTAAGACGTATGTCAGAATACAAATACAGTTCATGACATGACCAGCTTCTAAAAGTGATTCCACATAGTTGTCATGCCATCCAAAAGATTTGTTTCTACTGCCGTCAGGAAATTAGATCTTTGTACTGTCCAAAGATTTAAATTCATATTTTCATGCACTGTGAGTATTTGATTCATTATATAAAAGCTTATTTAGAACTAACTTTGAAATGATTGCATGATTTGCCTTCAGATAACAGTTTGCATTTTCCTATAAAGCAGACATTGTTTCTTTGAGTAAAGGTTGTAATTTTCACATTTCACTGTTACTTCTCCACCTAATTGTACATTATATTGACAAAGTAGCATATATGATTGTAAAGTAAATTGACAGACACAAGGATAATGGTTAATGTAAGAATTTCTAATTCACCAACTCTCCCAAATCTGTAAGGATAAAGCTTCCACATGAGAGTTGTTGTAGGACAGTCTCCATCCTTAAACGCATTTATTTGGTCAGCATAGGGTGTTTGTGGTGATGCAGGAAACAGAGCTGATGATATATTTTAAATCACTGAAGAATAGTGCCACCCATGTGTATAACTGGTCCCTTTTTTCTGCTTTTCAGGAGGACACAAAGAAAAAAGTGACAGAGGAAGAGGAGAAATTTATTAAGGAGATTACAGACTTCAATGATGAGTATGAAATAACTAAGAAAAGAGATATTGTGAGGCAAGAAAACATCAAGAAGGAAATTTCTGACTTGGAAAAGCAGGCAAATGTTTTGAGAGGAGGTACTGGCACAGGCTCCTCTGTGACTGTTGTTAATGAATACGTGGTCTCATTTGCTTGTTTGTTCACTTGCCGGTTTGTGAGACAGGGTTTCACCGTGTAGCACAAACTGGCTTGGAACTTAATGTGTAGCTTAGGCTGGCCTCAGATTTGGTATGATGCTCCTGTCAAAGTTTTCCAAGCACTGAGGTTTAAAGCGTGCACCACATGCCTGTTACAGTGAGTCACTTTGAATGAATGTGTTTTCTGGAAGGTCAGCTCTGTATGAAGGTAAATCCCATCATTACATAGTTACTCTTTTACTTAGTGAACATGTACTACCATGGTGATTGTGTATTTCACATTCTTCAGAAGTACATTGTGAACAGAGCATTTGATCATCTGTCTGATATGAATGTAAGTTTACTATGTCATGTGACTGTTAGGTACTGTTCTAGGTCCCAGGGATATGAGATTTAAAGGTGTAAGGAACAAGTGTGTAAGCCATGTGATGAGTTAGGACTGCACTGTGAATTGCATTTGCTCATCAAGCCTGTGAAAAGTAGGAAGTACAGGTACAGAGAGAGGTGGCAAGTGGGTCACCTCAGGAGTATCTGTGTGCGTGCTACTGGAGACCCATAAGATGATACATTCAAGTAATTGCCAGAGAGGGGAGTGAAGCAGCTGTTTAGGAAAATAACAGGACTTTAATACACACAGAAACAGGGAATGCCAAGGACACCAGTTCCCAGGCCCCACAGGCTCTATTCCACCATCAAGTTTGGTTTCTCTTCTCTCGAATTAGGCTCAGTCACAGTTGAGATCCCTTGATTGCCACTCCCCTGTAATTCCTTGAGTATATTTCCTCTTAATCTGAAAACCTCACAGTAAAGCAAATAATAATTTCTCAGATGGTCAGTGTGCTGTGGTGAGATCAGAGAGAGGAAAACCGTGGATGCCATCGCCCCAGCGCAGTTCAGAAGTACAGTTACAGAGACGCTGGGCATTCCCTGGTTAGGACTTGGGCATCCTCCTACCTCCGTTCTGATGCATTCCTGTTTTTGTGAGAGGTGTCTTATGCTTGCAGCCCCTCCTTTTTAAAGCTTGCTTCAGCTCTACAGGACTTCTGGCATCCAAGGGCCTTTTTTAGCATTCTTAGCATCACTGGAATTATGGGACTAATTCTCTTAAAGACTTTGTAACTCTTAGATGAATCTAATTGAGGTTAATTCCACTAGAAAAAAAAGCTGTGACTACAATTTTTTTTCTGAGATCAGACTTTGTTTTGGTTTCTGCTGAAACATCAGAAAACAATACTAAGTGCTTTTTAAAATTTTTCTCTTTTATGGAAAATGGATTATTTTCTCATACAATATATCTTGATTACAGTTCCCCTCCCTCTACTCCTGGCCCTCAAGCTTAACTGATTTTCTGAGACATCATTTTAGATTTCTCTCAGATCAAAACAGTTTTAAATTTATATGCTGTGTTTTATATTTAGATAATGATTTCCTAGCATTGGCATGGGTTTATCCTCACTGACAGGTGTGTATTTTACTTCCTGAAACAACTAATAACGAAATGCAAAGATGCAATGCCAGGGCACCACATGAGTTAAAGGTAATCTTAAAACACTAATGTAGTCTGAATACAAGTGTGAAAGGAAGAACAAACCCATAAAACAAATAATAGCACAGTAGACCTAAGTTTGTCTATATCAATAACTCACACTGAATGGTCAGCCAGTCACCACAGTTAGAAGACAGACAGAATGATACTGTGTAGGAGAGAGGGCTCAGCAGTGAAGGGCATGCATCACTCTTGATGAACACCCAAGTTCCGTTCCCAGCACCCACACCTGACAGATGACAGCTGCCAGTGTCTCTAGCTCTGTGATTAGTGAAATGGCTCTGACATCCTTGAACATAATGCATATACACAGACATGCACATACATACATAAATAGATAGCAATAAAACAAAGGAAGCTAATGAATAAAAAGATATTCTGTGAGCAATAACCATAAAAAATTAACGTTTTTATTGATATCAGATACCATTTAATAAAAAGGTGTCACTGAAATTAAAGAGAATTTTATATTGAAAAGTTTAATTTTCAGTCAGTTAAGAATATTGGAATAATGCATAGTGTATTTTATCAGCATAAGTGAATAACTTTAAAAAAGTAACAAGCAATAAAGTTTCCAGCAAAATCTAAACATTTGGAAATTAAAAGGCACATTTATTTAAAAAAAACTCATTGTCCAAAGGGAAAATAAAAATAATTGAATTATAATATAAATTCAATATACTAAAATTTTGTAGTTTAGGCAGTATTTATTTGGAGGTATATAAGTAATTTTAACGCTTACATTACTTTAAATAAAAAAAATGGTCTAAGGTTGATATGTTTTACATGAAGAAGATCCTAAAAAGTAGTGCAAATAAATTCACATGAAGGAGGAAAATGCATTTGAAAATTAAAGCAGAAATCAAGGGAAAACTGGAAAAGGAAGGGACAGTGTCTTTCCCCATGCTGAGACACCCTGAGCATCAGGAAAGTCCGTGATCAGTTCAGCAGTCACTCTGTAGAACATGAGCCCAGACTCCAGAGTACCCTCTGGGAAATGGCTTTCAGCAAGAGCTCCGGAGTGGCAGCTCCATAGGTGAAACAGTGGCTCTTCAGTAAGTAAACCAGAGCTGTGGGGCCTCTGCTGTCGAGGCGAACCTTTAGCCTGTTACACACCATGTTACAAATTAACCGGAGGGGCTGGAGATATGTGTCCACACTCTTCAGAGGACTGGAATTTCGTTGCTAGCACCCATGTTGGACAGCTTGCAGCTACCTGTAACTCCAGATGCACGACATTGGATGCCCTGTTCTGCCCCAGATGGTACTGTACACACATGGCATATACTCACTCAGACATAAACACATATACATAAAGAAAAAGAAAAACTACTGTCGGGAGAAATCCTGACTAGAGGTACCACTGACCACGCCCATTTGGGTGTGGTCAGAGTTATGTAACAAGGGTTTAAGAAGGAGAGAGGTGCTGCAGGAAGCTCTCTTTCACCTGGCTGAGCTAACTGGGAAGCATTATATGGGTTTGTCCTGCTCTGGTGCAAACCTGGTCACTGGCTTCCTTGCGTGAGTACTTTTTCCCAGTAAATTACAATTTATCAAAAATATTTCTGACTCCACTTTGCAATTGTCAATAAGCTACCTTTATAAATTTAACTCAGAATAAACTTATATCTAAACATTAAAACTACAGTTAGGCACCTCCTGAGGAAAACAGAAACAGTGAAACTATCAGGACTGGAGGGATGTCTGAGTGGTTAGGACTGCTGGTCCCTCCTGCAGAGGGCCTTAGTTTGGTTCTCAGCTCCCACATCAGGTGGTTCCCAATGAAGCTACAGCTCTAGCTTCATTTGATCTCATGCTTTCTTGCCTGTGGGTGCACCTGTGTGCACACAGTTCACATAAACTCACAAGGCACAATACAAATATACATAAATAACAAAAACATCTGAAATATTTTCACCATTTTCAAATAAGCAGATTTCTTAGATGGAAGATAGAAGTGTGAACCATAAGAGGAAAACTACACACTGGGAATCAACTAAATTGAAAAAAGTTAGGAAAATGAGGACAGACTATGGGCTGGAAAAAACATTTGTGATACATGTACATGGGCTGCTACTCAGAAAATAATGACCCTCACAACTTCAAATTGAGAAGACAACAAGACCAGATATAGCAGGGGAAGATTTGAACTTAACAGTACAGTTCTGATGACCAATGAACACATTGGAAAAGTCCTCAATATTTTTAGTCATGAGGAAGATACTAATTAAAATACAGTGAGCTGTCATTGTGCATTCATTTAATCAAAATTAAACAGACTGACCAACTCAGGTGTTGAGAAAAGTGAAGGGCATTTGAAACCCATGTAGCAGTAATAAAAATAGAAAATAAATGGTAAAAATTTCTCTCAAGAATTGTTTGGCAATTTCTTAAAAGTTAAATGTACATTTATCCTATACTTCACACCACAAGTAGATGCTCCAGAAAAATTAACACTGTGTTTGTAACAGATGTTTTTGTAAATTTAATTCATAGTAGCCAAAGACTGCACATAATTTAAATGTCTATTAGGAAGTGAATGGCTAGACAACAGCTGGCAAAATTACTAATATACACCATGGAGGGATCTCATGAAACCAGGGATGCACATACTCTACACTGTGAACCTAGAGGAAAAGGTTAACAGGGGTCACAAGGTGAAAGACCCCCAAAGAGGTACTTTC